TGCCACATTAGGGTGGGCCACTCATGAATCTTGGCAAGCAAGTGAAGACAACACGCAGGTTTTCCTCGAGGTGAGTGAGCCCAGGGCGTGTTCTGAGTCACCCTTTTATTTGGCAACATATATGAGGAAGTGAGCAGGTGTCAATACATAATTGGTTACATGTGTAGGAAGTTAGTACATGTTATTATATAATTGGTTACATGCAGTTACATATGTAGGAAAGTAAGTAAGTGCTATCATGCAATTGGTTACATTTTGTCGCATAGCTCTTTGCTATATTATTGGCTAAAATTTGCCGCAGTATGACATGTAGCTTATTTCCTTTTGCTATAGCCTATCATTGTGCTTTTTCCCTACTTGCTTACGTGTAGTTGACCTACTTAGCTTTTGTTGCTAACCAGCTTTGTGCAAGGCTTTCCATGTCCTTGGTTCCTGTTTCATGTGCAGGCCATTGGCCTAGTCACACTGTAGGAGCCTGAACTGAACTTTTTCCCAACACCATCTTCCTGGTTTATTAGCATTTTCAAAAAAGTTTTGTTTTGCTCTCTTTATCTGTTCTGCCAGTTTTTCTGAGTCCAACAGATTTAGTTTGTGTTTTATTATTTCCATTTCTCTTTTCAAAGTCTTTTTCTGTGGGGTTTTTTGTAGTTCTGCTTCTAACTTTCCAAATTTTGCTTTTAATAGTAGATATTGCTGTCTTCTCTGTTTATTTTTCTTTGCCATATATATTATAGCTATGCCTCTGAAGTACACTTTGGCTGTATCCCATAGTTTTTGTAATGATGTATCTTCTTTTATGTTTTCTTTAAAGAAGAATTTCATTTATTTTTTTGCTAACTCTATAAATTCTTTTTCTTTTAGTATTGATTGGTTTAAAGTCCATCTTGGATTTTTTTGTATTCCGTTCCATGTCACTTTTAAGGGATTATAGTCCACCCATGTACCTATTTCTATCTCAATTTCCTATATATCCATCCTCAATTCAGATGTCATCCAAATTATATCAATTTTTGACCAGGATTTGTAGCTATTTGAATAGAAAATATATTGTAGGTTTTGTGGATTAATTTCTCTCCAGGCATCTTGTATTCCAATTTCCTCTGCCATATCAAAAAATGTCTTAGATAATCTTCTTCTTGCGGATTTTCCTGTTTTATTGCTTTTGTAATCCATTATTCCATCTACTATTGCATTGAAGTCCCCTATTAAACAAATATTTTGGTATTCCATTTCTATTAATTTCCTATGTAGGCTTTGATAAAATTCTTCTTGATTGTTATTTGGAGCATAGATTGCCACTAACAATATTTGGTTTTGATGTAGATATATTTCAACCATCATAATTCTTCCTTCTTCATCTGAATACACTAATTTAGAATCTAGTGTCTCTTTAACATGTTGTGCTGATGTATAATAAAGCTTCCCAATTTCTGAGTATTCCAATAATTTATGTTGTTTTTTTATGTGAGTCTCTTGCAAACAGATTATATCTATATTCAATTTCTGAAGTTTCCTAAAGATTTTATTTCTTTTTGATGCAGAGTTTAGTCCATTTACATTTAATGAAAAAATTCCATTTGCTTTCTCCATTTCTATTATTTATATTTAGGTCTAGTTGATCTTGTAATCCTTTGTTTTGTGGCAATTCCTTCACCTTCACCCTCTTGTTCATCTTTCTCCTTCTGTTGTTCTGCTTGTACAGTTGCTCCTCAGGCAGTCTCTCAGGTTTGCTTCTCCCCTTGTTGTTGGTGCAGTCCTTCATCCAGAGTTGCTCTGTTCCTTATTTCGAAGTCCTCTGCTTTCCAAATTGAATCCAGTCGATATCTTGTGTTGTTCCAGTTTATTAAAATGCCTTCCGGCATTAGCCATCTGAAACTTAAGCCTTTGGCAATCAGCTTTGTGGTTAAGAAGTGGTAATGTCTCCGAGTATCTCTTATTCTCTTGGGTATCTGCTTTAGGACCACAATTTCTTTATTTTTATATTGTAATGGTTCTTCTCTCATTTTTCTCAGCACTTCATCTCTTGTGGTTTTCTTTATGAACCTTACATGTATTTCTCTTGGTAATCTATTTTTTGTTGCATAGCTCGAATTCATGCAAAATATTTCATTGATCTTATTTTGCATTTTGCTCTATCTGTGTTTAGAGCCACCGCCAACAGCTTAATGATCACAATCGCTATATTTTTTTCTCTATCCTCAGGGATATTTTGGAATCTCAAATAGTGTTCCACTTTTCCCATTTCTACCATTGCCATTGCACGTTCTAGCTCTTGATTTGCTTGTTCTAATTTTTCATTTTTTTGCAATAACATTTCCACCTTTTTATTAATGTCCTCAGTTTTGCTTTCCATTTCCTGGATTTTCTGTTCATTTTTTATAATCTTTTGGTTTTGGATTTCAAATTATGCCTTTATATCCAGAATTTCTTCACTTACTTTCTCCAGTTTTCTTTGTGTCTCTTCATGATTTTCTGTGTTACTTCTGACTTTTTTGCATCATCTCTTGAATCAGTTTTAATGAGGCCTGCAGTTAATGAGGCCTGCAGTTCATCTTTCTCATGTTGCAATATTGTCCCAACAGATCCCTGAGTATTTGGACTAGATTGTCCCACAGAGGGCACAGAAGAAGTTTTCTTTGCAAGTCTGGTTATATTTGATGTACTCATTTTGCAGCTCACAGTCTTAGACCAATATGCAAAATATAAACAGGAACCAGCTATTGTAAGGCAAGTCCACCTCCTCCAGTCACATCTTGAATTTAGAACATTCTCTTTCTCCAAATAGTGTCTCTTCAGTCTTAGCGAGCGTCAACAAATGTAACTGTAAACAGTCTTTTCGCTTACAATCTCAGACCAGGACACTGTATTGTTCACAAGTATCTGTCAAGGTCATTTGCAGCAAGAATACTTTTTTCTTTTTTTTCTCCCTTTTTTGGTATTGTTGTTTCTTGTTTTCACCACTAGATGTCCTCCTTGGCTTATTTATCGCTCTCCGATATTCTTAAACGGTTTCCCCCTTATGATTACTCACCGCTTTTAAGTTAGTCTTTTGGGGGGTCTTTACTCTTTTAGCTTCTCCCGATCAAGGCCTCAATGCTTTTAATTCTCAAGGAGAAGGAAAAGAATTCAACTCACCCAGACTCGGCTCATTGTTGAAGATCAGCTGTTTTGCAGAGCTTCCCTTCCGGCTGGAGACGACTTGGGCTGCCTTGGCTCTCCCGGCAGCCTTTCTTTTGCCCCTTTAGAGGGGTTTTCCAGTTCGCTCAGATCGATCACCACCAGATCCAAGCTCCAGAAATGTCCCTCTTTCTTTGTTGCCCCTCTGGGGCAACTTTCTGTCCCTTTAAGGGATGTTGGGCAAAGCGAAACCGGACTGAGAAGCTGAAGTTTCCATCCGTCCTGTCCTCAAAACCAAACTGGAAGTCCATTTTTGGAATGTATTTTACAAGTTTTAAGCTCTCTCTCTATATATGGTAGTTTTTATTTCTATACATTATACAATCAGAAGCCAACATGGGTTTGTCAAAAATAGATCACCAGACAAATCTTATTGTTTTCTTTGACAATGTGACAAAATTAGCAGAGCAGCAAAATGCTGTGGACATAATTTACCTGGACTTCAACAAGATATTTGATAAAAGTAAACCACAACCTATTACTTGATAAGATAGAAAAATGTTGGTTAGAAAGCATCACCACCAGATGGATTCATAACTGGCTGACCAATTGCACTCAACATGTATTCTTTAATGGAACTGCATCTATATCAAGAAAAGTATGCAGTGGGGTACCCCAAGGCTCTGTTTTAGGCCCAGTACGCTTCAATGTCTTCATAAATGAGTTAGACGAGTGGATAGAAGGGGAATTCCTAAAATTGCAGATGATACTAAACTGGAAGGAATATCCAACACTCTGGAAGATAGGCTCAAGATCCAGATGGATTTAACAGACTTGAACACTGGGCCCTATTCAACAAAAAAAAAATCAATGCTGAGAAAAATAAGGTTCTACATTTAGGCAAGAAAAAACAAATGCACAGTGATAGAATAGGTGGTTCCTAGCTCAGTAGTAGTAACTGTGAGATGGGATCTTGGAGTCCTAATGAACAATCACTTAAATATGAGCCAGCAGTGTGCTGTAGTTGTCAAAAAAGCTAACATAGTCCAGGACTACATTAACAAAGGGATAGAATCAAGATCACGTGAACATTAGTATTGTTTTATAATGCCTGGCTAGGAGCACACTTGGAATACTGCCTCCAGTCTTGATTGCTATAATGTAACACAGATGTTGAGACTCTAGAAAGAGTGCAAGGAAGAGCAATAAAGATGATTAGGGGACTGGAGGCTAAAACATATGAGGACTGGTTGCAGAACTGGGTATGTCTAATTTAATGAAAAGAAGACTAGGAGTGACATGATCCAAGATCTAAAGGGCTGCAACAAAGAATAGGGGGTCAATTTACGTATTTTCAAAAGCACTGACGGCAGAACAAGAAATATTGAATGGAAACTAATGAAGAAGAGAACCAACCTAGAAACAAGGAGAATTTCCTGGCAGAACAATTAATCAGTAGAATGACTTGCTTCCAGAAGTTGTGGGTGTTCCATCACTGGAGGCTTTTAAGAAAAGATTGGACAGCCACTTGTCTGAAATGGTATAGGGTTTCCTATTTGAGCAGGAGATTGGACTAGGAGATCTCCAATGTCCCTTCCAATACGGTTATTCTGTTATTCTATTATTCCATTATACTTTGTTCACCACCCCAAGTTGTTTTAGCAAGTGGGGAAGGTGTATAAATATAAATAAATATTTCTATCTCTGAACAAGGCCCTTGGACTATAGTCCTCATCTGCATAATCCAATAAACCTGAAGAAATTAATGCCAAATGGTAGATATTTGTTATATAAGAACTGTCCAAATATGTGTAACTTTTTATATAAAACTAATGTATATTTTGCTTCTGATCTTCAGTGTTCATCTCTTTCTATCCTTTCAGATGATGATGTGGATTTGGAAGCTTTAGTTAACAATATGAACTCCTCATTTGAAAGTCTATGTTCCACCTTCTGTATACATTCAGAAAGTACACCACTCCTTCAGAATTGCAGCCAGCTATTAGCTTCAGGAACTAGTTCGCTACATCCAGTGTCTCCACAACAGAAAATACAGAGGTCTCAACCAGTTCACATCCTGGCAGTCAGGTATATAACCAGTGCAACAATGATCCAGTTCAGAATGCAATTGTAACCATAAAATTTGGGGTCTGATTAACAACAAGAACTTGACAGGATGCATTCTCTCTCTATTTAAGTGGTATTTCTGTAAACTGAAGGTAGTATCTCAGTGGTTCTGTCTGAATTCTCTAAGGTGCTAGGTTCATCATATATAAATACACTTATTTAATACAGCATTTCCTTGAGCATATTGGTTGCAGTATGCATTTTTCCCTGAAAACTTTTTTTTAATGTTAAAATGTTAAACATTGACAACTTTAAAGGCACCCATTTTTGTTTTTGTATGAGTCAGTACAAAAGAGAATGTACTTTCTCTTAAGACTGTGCTTATTTAGAATAAAGTACAACATCCTTTTACATTGACAAATAACTTTTGGAAGTTCTGGAAGGAGGCAAGAAAGAGGGTTGGGAATCTATTGAGTAATTAATGCATGTCCCTCCCTGAGTGTTGAATGTCTCAAGCAAAGGCTGGACAAGGTTATCTGCTTAAAGTGAAAGTTGAAGACAAAGCAAGATCAACAAGCAGTTCCCTGTTTGTTTGTTTAATAAATTTATAGACCTTCTCAGTTGCCAGAACAATTCTAGGCTACATATAACAGTTCTTTTTTTAAAATAACTATTTGCCCCAGCATTCTGTTTAGCAATGACTAAATAGAATTGGTAGGAAGTAAATCTCATGGAACTTAAATGGCATTGCTTCTGAATAAATGTTAATATTGCAGCACTTCAGATGTTCAGAAATTTTAAAAATTAATATTCATTGTATCAGATTATAAATAGATTTGGGTCTATGTAAATTAAATTCAAGGGCAAAGCAGATGTAATTGAACCATAAAAGAATAGTATAGTGCAAAATACTTTAGTTATGACCAAAGTCAAAGTAATAAGTAGAATATGAAGGGCAAAAATAGGTACTCTGGTGCTGCTGAAGAACTTTTTAAAGTTTTTAAAGTACATATTTAAATAGCTTTATTCTGTGAGTGGCTAAATCAGTATCTGTAAATTTCTGTAAATTTTTTTCTATATAAGTAAAAGTTTAGAAATCATGAAAAAAAATTATTAGCAAGATATTAGAAAAAATGGTAGGCCTAATTAAATATTTAAAAATAAGAATTATTTTTATTGCTTTTGTAACCTTTACCATGTTTTTTTTAATAATATTTTATTTTATTTAGAAAGTTAAGATAAAATACAATACAAAAAAGAGAAATTTTACAAGAACAAAAAAACTAGACAAAGCATTAAAAATGAAAGAAAAAATGTGTGTTAAAAAGGACAAAAGACAGAAACACATATACATACATTACCCCGCTTGTTGAATACTGATAAATATATTGCAACAATATTAGTCTCCTCCCCCCTTGAGAAGCAGGCCTAAAATGTTTAAACTTCTACATCTATTTGTAACAAATTTGACCTGTCATCTATCTACTGTACATAAAAGCAAAGCAGTTAACAGCATAGTTAATTTCGACTCAGCTCCAGTGTTAAGTTGACATCTGGCATTCTTTTCACCTAGCCAATCAACCAAGCTAGACCACCTTGCTCCTGGAATCCCATACAGATGCTGACCTGGAACATGGCTGGTTGGAAAGGGATGATTGATAGTGAACTAATGAACTTCCTCTCTGGATTTGATGTAATAGCCTTTCAGGAAACCTGGTTAACTGAAGTGGACGAACCAGTACAACTGCCAGGCTTTCAGCCCAAAAAACAAAAAACAAAGGGAGACCCTCTGGTGGGTTATGCATTCTTATAAAGCAAGAATTGCAATGGCAGGGGGAGAAATTATACAACAAAGACAAGTATTCGTATTTCCTAGTAGTAAAATTTGGATATAAAGAGTTTGAGTTAATACTGGTAAATGTGTATATCCCTCCAAACACATCCCGGTATTATAACTCCGAATACTGGATGGGTCTGGAAGTTATCCTAGATGATATATCTGTATTGTACCCTCCGTCCATAATAGTATTACTAGGAGATTTTAACGCTAGGTTGGGTCCCTCTTTGTATGAGTTTGCCCAAAGGAAGGGAGTCCCAGGGGAGTTTTTTTTATAACCATCCTCATTGGCTCTCGAGAGACCGCAAAAGTAACACTGCTGGCCTGTTCTTAGTCTCTTTAATCTTTAAGGGTAATCTCCAAATTCTGAGAGGTAAGGATAAAAATACATGTATACTTACACATACCACTCGGTCCATTCAAGCAGTGTACTGGTTCTCTTTTGTGTGTCTAGAGATAAAATTGACCTCTTCTCAGAGGTCATGGTACACTTTCGTAACGATAGCAATCATCAGCCTGTAAGCGTGAGGCTGCTCAGATTTAAGACCATATAACATGGCTGACAGATGGCTCACCAAAAAGGTAGAGGTGACCCAAAATAAAAGATTAATTTGGGCCAAAGTTGATACTAAGGCAATATCAGACTGTCTTAAAGCAGAGAATGCTACCAACTGGGCTAGAACAATCCAGTCATCTACTACTGACTGGTTGTCAGCCTTTAACACATTCTCTAATCTCTATAGTATCCTGAAGAAACGCCTAACAAATAAAGCTGCTACAAAAAGAGCCCGAGTGAGTAGACCCCACTGGTTTGACCCTGAATGCCAGCGGTTGAAAAAGAAATTGAAGGCAGCCATGATGCTCGCCCAGAGGAATCCTACTGTTCATATACAAGCTAAGATGTTGCACACAAGAAGGGAATATAAATATATATATATAATTAAAGAAAAATAGTTTTGCCATTTCAATCTGGTCAGAACTCAAGTTGGCTGTCAAAAGTCATAACTCACTAATATTTTGGCACAGGTGTCCTAAAGGAATGGAGATTTGCATTTGATATACCAATCTCTGCTGAGGACTGGGAAAATTATTATCAGTGTTTGTTTGCTTCCACGGAACCTGCAGAGAAACTGTCTTTAAGCAGTGATTTAGTAAACTCTAGAACTCCTCTCCCTTGGCTACCAGTCTCAGAAAAGGAGATACAATCCATCATTAAAAGCTTAAAGAGCAATAAAGCCCCAGGTGAGGATTTTTTATCAGCAGAATTATTTAAGAAATTTCCCAGTTGGTGGGGACCAGTATTGGCAGGTCTTATACATACAGTATAAATAACACCTGCCAGACACCAGATGGGTGGAAGATGGCAATAGTTGATCCCATATATATATAAAAGAAAATAAAAAGAATCCTAGTAATTATAGGCTCATCAGTCTGATTGACATTGCAGCAAAAATATATGCTAGGTTCCTTTTAAATAGAATTGAAATCTGAGTAGAGGAAAACCATATCCTCGCAGAAGAACAAGCAGGTTTTAGACAAAGCCGATCCACTATTGATAACTGCTTTATCTTGAACCATCTAATTGCCAAATATGCCTATAGGAGGAGACCCCTGTTTGCTGCTTTTATAGACCTCACAGCAGCATTTGATATGGTAAATAGAGAAGTACTATGGAGTAAACTGACAGCTTTTAAAATAGAACCTAGACTGCTGGCTTTGATTAAAGCCCTTTATACAAGTACCTGTTTGAGGGTGCGGTATGGGTTAATGGGGCTTTGACTAACAGGATTCACACAAATAAATGGGTAAGGCAAGGGTATATCCTGGTCCCATTATTATTTAGTTTATATATCAATGATTTGTCAGGGTTAATGAAGGATCCCATGATACATATGCCGATGATCCTAAATACATACTGTAACAGCTTGCTCTATGCGGATGATATGATTTTATTATCGTATTCACAAGTAGGATTATGTAGTTATTAAGAAGATTCAGCTCTTATTGCCAGGATAACTCCCTAATCATTAGTAAATCTAAATAAAAAATCATGGTGTTTGGAAAACATCAGCAGAGACATAGATGGCAATTAGATGGTAACCAATTGAACAGATTAACACATTTGTATATTTAGGCATAACTTTTTCCAAGATTGGATCTTGGGCCTGCCATCACCAGCAGAGTACAGTTAGAGCAAAAGCCCATTTGAATTTATTGCTTAAACTAAAGAATCATAGTTACCCAGGGTCCCTAGCCCCATTAATCAAAGTATATAAAGCTAAGGTTACCCCTATGCTCTTGTATGGAGCAGAGGTTTGGGGTCTGTACTCAACCACAGTCCTAGAACAAACATAGTCCCAGCATTTGAGATGTATTTTGGGTGTAAATCTAAGAACATCTGCTGCATCAGTTAGAACTGAATTGTGAATTCATACAATTCATGCATTATCCAAAATTAGAGCATATAACTACTGGCACAAAGTCAATGAAATGGAGATTGATAGACTTCCCAAGCAAATGGAGATTGATAGACTTCCCAAGCAAATAAAATCACAATCACAAATCTCCTGGATCAGCAAACTAACAAATTTTGTAAGAAGCTGTGGTCTTCTTGTCTCTTGCATAACAGGAGAACGATTTAAAAAAAGAGCTGCCCAAAGAATTAAGGATATAGAAACACAAAATGACATAGCTATTCTTAGTAAGATGGGTAACTTGAAATGACTGAGCAAATACAAACATACTTTTTAAATAGACAGCTCTTTGAAGTTACAACTGCCAAAACATCTAAGGGAGATATTTACGCGAGCGAGATTCAAACAGTTCAACACAGTGGTTAGATATGGGTGATTCCATTCTATATCCTACAATGAAAGTCTCTGCATTTGCGGAGCACCAGAGGTAGAAGACCTGGCTCACATCCTATTCGATTGTTGTCTGTATAATAGGGAGAGAAACATATACCTCAGTCTATATACCAAACGAATGACCCATTGGGATCCCCATATCAAAACAACTTACTTTATGTGCGGCCAGAATCTGAAAATAACATTTAACACAGCACAGTACTTAAGCAAAATGTTCCAGTTGAGATCTGCATATATGGGACTGATTGGGGTAGATTGCAGATATAGATATCTATATCTTAAATTATTGTATTCTATTCCAGTTTCATTTTAAACTGTATTTTATCCCAATTTCATTTTATTTTATTCCAATTTCATTTTAAATTGTATTTTATCTAATTCCATTTTAAATTGCTTTTATCAAATTTTAGTAATTTGTTTCTGGAACTTTGTACTTTGATATGGCCCAAGGGCTAATCAATCAATCAATAATAATAATAATAGACAATAAAGATTATCTTATCTCATTTTATTCTTAATAATAAAACTTTTCCTTAAAATTTTGGTTGAAAGCGTTCCCAACAATTGTGCTTATTCCCCAGAATCATAAATCTCTGTTGTTGATCCATCTTTCCCAAAAAATCCATTCCAAATTGTTTTTGAGATAGATATAGTAAGTCCATTTCCCAATTGCCATCAATTTTCTTAAGAAAATCCATTTCATTAGTTATCAATTCTGTTAATGTGTAGACTCCATCTCCCTTTCAGCCTTGTCCAACAAATCAGCAATTTCTAAACCAAGTTTCTTCTCCTTTAAATCTGCCAACAGCAGTTTTCAGATTCAAGTCCAACCAATTGTGAATTTGGTTTGGCTATTGTTGTTTGTGTTTGGATATCCTCTTTAGGTTGATTTAAAATGATAGTTATTTTATCAAACCTTTTACCAAAGTTTTCAGTTTGAACTTGTAAGTTAAAAATAATTTTTTTCTAAGGCTTTCCAGAGGGCTTTATCTTTAAGTTGGTGCATTGTTTGCATTAATCCTGTAACTGGGCATTCACAACCAGACATAAACAGTTCCTTTCAAGTACAGGGGAGTTAAATAAAATAGCCACAGATAATGTTGAGATAATATTTCTCACAATAAAGAAGGATAAAAATAAATAAAAAAGATCCATCAAAAATTACAAGAATTAAGATCATGTAATCTGAATGTAAATCCAAACAGGTCACTTTTCACTACCAGGAAATCTCAGTCAACTTCCATATAGAGAAAGCAAAAATAATTCAGAACAGCAGAGTAAAACAATGAAAAAAGATTGACGAATTCACATTAAAATCCAATAAGGAGTTAGAGAAAATCAGCATACAACCAATTAATTAACTTTTAAAAGAAAGATCAAGATTAAAAGGAAAATTTAAAACATGCATTTAAAACCAAGGTATACTTTAAAAAAATGAACAGCTGAGCAGAAAGATGGAAAGGTCTAACTCTCAAAAGCCGCTCCTATTGGGAATGCAACCTTTAAGATTCCTCTTCCCAGGTGGATCCAAGGTCATCCAAGATCTTATTGGATCATTCCTAACTGCTCCCATTCAGATCTATGGAGCAAGCTGAAAAAGAACATTCCTTTGGTAACATAATCAGCTGTTTGTTAGCAGGAGAAATAGATTCTCCTGCCGTTCAGCACACCATCTTGGGAAATGGCCCTTTAACCATGGCTTTTATTTTGTCCCACTTTAACTAATGCTAACTAGCTTAATCAGAGTACCATTTGAAAATGTCTATATATTTTATAGAACACTTTGAATTTCTTTTAGATTTTTGTTTTATATACACTTTTTATTTTGTATTTTTTAGCTTTTTATAATTACACTGATGTACAGGTAGTCCTTAACTTATGACCACAATTGAACCCAAAATTTCTCTTGCTAAGTGAGACAGTTGTTAACTGAATTTTGCCCCATTGTACGACCTTTCTTGCCACCCTTGTTAAGTGAATCACTGCAATTGTTAATAACACATAAGTTAAGTGAATCTAGCTCCCCCACTGACTTTGTTTGTCAGAAGGTCGCAAAAGGTGATCACATGGCCCTGGGACACTGCAATCATCATAAATATGAGTCAGTTGCCAAGCATCTGAATTTTGATCATGTGACCATGGGGATGCTGCAGTAGTTGTAAGTGAAAAATGATCATTAGTCATCATTAATCAACTGTTGTAAGTCAAGGTATTTTTTAATGTTTTTTAAATTGACTATGTCCTACTCTCCTTATGTTGAACTTTGATGATAATAAAGATTTGATTTGACTATAGACGTTTGCAGGAGGAAGAACAACAATTCAGAACATCCTCTTTGCCTGCCATTCCAAATCCTTTCCCTGAACTTTGCAGCCCCACAAATTCACCTGTGTTGGCACCGGGATCTCTACCTCAGAGTCAACATATGAATAAGCAAGTGAGTCTTTCTTTGCATTTTTGAAAGTGACTGGTTTTTAACATTGATATTTTTTTAAAAAATATTTTTTTTTAATTTATAATACAGTTAAAAAAGAAAACATTGGACATGACGTAACATTCCAGTATAAACATTTCTATCAAATTATTTCTCTTCTTACATTTAGTTCTTTATCTCTATAAATACATATGTGTTATTTATACAATACTTAATTTATTTCTCTATTTGCTACCCTAAGATTATATACATTTCTATCTTAACATTAATCTGTAACCCCAACAGTCCTCCTCGATTCCCACCAATAGTAAAATTTGTCCCAGATTTCAAAGTATTCTGATCCACTCTTATCCTTCAGTTCCATCGTAAGCCTGTCCATTTCAGCGCAAGATAGTATTTTATATAGTAACTCTTCCTCTGTGGGAGTTTTTTTGTTCTTCCATTTTTGTGCAAACGCCAGTCTAGCAGCAGTCAAGATGTGCAACATCAAATAGATTATCCCCTTGTCATATTTCTCTATGGTTATGCCCAATAGAAAAAGTTCAGGTTTTAGCTCTATCTCCAACATTAATATTTCTTCCAACCATTTTCTTATCCTATTCCAATAATCACAGGTTTTAGGACATTCCCACCACATATGGTAATAGGTCCCTATTGCTAATTTGCATTTCCAACATATGGGTAAGAGATTTGGGCCCATTTTGGCTAACCTTGTGGGTGGGAAATGCCATCTGTAAAACATCTTGTAGAGATTTTCCTTATAAGAAGTAGCTGTATTTCTTGCTGTAGTTGTTCAAAGGGTGTCTTATTTTTAGCATAAGGACCTTAGTATAACTGCATGCAATATAATTGCTATTGCTCAGGATTATGAAGTGAAGAAATATGTTGCTTCTGAATTGGTTTTATATCCATAATGAACCGCCAAAATCAAAGTGCAACCAGAACTGGACTTTTCAGTCCAGTGCTTTCAATTCTAATGGGCAATAGCACTCAAATGCCTAATAAAGAATTCTCTTGATTACCTTATGGAATTACTCTTGTAAATATGCAGTATTAAAACAGGAGTCATGCAAGCTCTTGCCTCCCCCAAATCCCTGTCTCCTTTTGGATAAGTATCAGTGAGATGAGTGGGCAGAGATTTTGTGTAAAAAAAATTTCTCTTCTGCTATGAGCATTGAAGAGCTATATATCTTGACCAGCACTTGAAAATAAGCGTGAATATTTGTCTTGTTTTTAGCATGTGACAGTGTGATAATTGCAACCCAATTCCTTCTGAAATTTCTCCTCCATCTGTTGATAGAAAAAATGTCTTGGTCTCCTAAAAATGCACCCTAGGGATGTGTTATATCATGCTGGTTTTCTACTAGATTGGATAAATTCTTTTTGAAAATGTATAGCACAACCATAGAGAATTATCACACTTCTTAAAGTTCCCAAGATTGAGAAAGACTTCCCTAGAATATATACATTTCTGACAAATAGATCTTTGCAGTCTCCCACTTCACCACAGGCCATTTATCATCAGTTGGCCCTCTTCCAATGTTTTTCCTCTGCCACTCATCGCTCACCACTAGTCCCCTGCACCTTCATCCTGGCTGATTCACAGAGAGACACTTGTCCCTGGCCAATAGGGTCCAGGCAAGACACAATAGGGGGCAGTGGCCATCACCTCCTGACAAACTTGGAAGGAGAAAGCCCACCCCAACCACCACCCCCTACATGGGCCACCTCGAGCTCCATCAACCCAGCACAGGTGATTTTGAGGAAGTAGGGCAGTCGGCTTCCAGTTTGGCCAGCTTCAAGCTTCAAGACCTTGATCTTGCTTACTTAGCTAGAGCCCAATTTGTCAAGCTGATGGGGTTGGTAGCCCTTGTGCCAATGCTTGGGACAGCATTTTCCAAGGGCAGGGGCATTTGTAAAAGTAATTGTGCAGCCCCCTCTGGGCCATCTGCAGCACTCACCTCCCCTGAGATCTAGATGGAATGAATGGGGGGGGGGAGGAATTCTTTGCATCTCTTTGCCTTGCATCAAAGCCAGTGTGCTGTCAGTAGCCTCGAGTTTCAGCTGTGAGATTCCTTGGGCTTGGGGGCCCCTGCACCAGTGCTTGGGACAGGCATTTTGCAGGGGCAGTGGGCAATGAGTCTTTGTAAGGGTGACTTGTGCAACTCCCTTTGGGCCACTTGCAGAGTGTCACCTCCCCTGAGATCTAGTTGGAGTGAATGGGGAGGGGAATGAATGGGGGCCCCCTCTGTGTCTCTTCACCTTGAATTAAAGCCAGTGTGTTGTCGGCAACCTCAAGTTGTGGCTGTGAGATTCCTTGTCCCTTCAAGGCTCTTCAGAGCCAGGAGAACAGATCAGTGATCACCGCCTTGCCCAAAGGTCCAACACTGCTATGCCTCTGGTGAGTGGTAGCCAGACCCAGCATTTCCCAGATGCTTCAGGCCAGGAGTGGGCTCTCTCTGGGCTGTTTGGCCATGGCAGATAGGAATGGTTGGAGCTGGCCGGTGAGGCTCCTTTGCTGTGGTTAAGGGAAGAAGCTGTCTAGGAAAGCTGCCTTCTGGAGATAGATGGAAGTTCTCAATGTTTATTTGGGGAGGACTGCTCCCCCCTTATTGCTATTTTTGTCAGGAAGTCCTGGCTTCTGCCTCATCCCTGTTTGGCTGGACTGTGATCAAAGACTCTTTGTACACACACACCCATGCACCCTGAGTTTCCTCCTCCTAACTTAGCAGGTTCCTTGAAACAGATTTTTCATGTCCAGAGAAGAAGAAGAAGCATCTCTGGACAGTTTCAGCCTGATTCTGATTCATGATGAGTTTTATACTTTGCCAGGATGGAAAACATCTGTCCCACTTGAGGGGAAAGTGAGCTACAACTTTTAGTACAAGAGAATCTCCACGGAGTCTCAGGACAGAAGTGAGGGGTGTCTAAGCTAGGTGTCGCTTGCACCAGGTTGGTGGAGCTTCAGGTGGCCCATGTGGGGGGTGATTGGGGGTGGGGCCTTCCCCTTCCCAGCCTTTCAGAAGACAACAGCCACTGCCATCTATTATGTCCTGCTTGGACCCACTCTGCACCTAGCTTCTTTTCATAATACCAGAGCGGCCCAGAGGAGCAGAGTGCTGAGTGGGGCCAGGCAGGACATAATAAGCAGCAGAGGTGGCAGAAGCCAGATATGAGACTATTTGTCCCGTACAAATGGGGACAAGTGACTCTCTGCAAATTGAGGATGAGAGGATGGGGGACCAATGGTGGGTGGCTGGTGATGGTGGGAAAATGCCAGTGGAGAGTCAGCCAATGATAAACGTCCGTGATAGATTGGCTGCAGTGGGGAGCAGTCATGTGCATGTAGTTAATTGCCCTAGACCCCCAGACGTTAGAGGCATGTCAGATTGACATCTGTATAGTGCAAGATCTTTAAACATATTATAAAACAGCATGTCTGTGAACAGATTATAACTAACAACAGCCAGCACTGGTTTGTCACACGTAAGTCCCAATGGATTAATCTTATCTCCTGCTGTGGAAGATACAAAAATCACAGTATCCTTGAGTCTTGAGAAAGCTTTCCCTCTATACTTCATTTTTCCCCTTTCCATTCAGTTATATCCAACTCTTAGAGATAAGTCCCTGAAGTTTTATTGACAAAGTATGTCACAAATATTTTGCCATTGCTTCCTTCCTAGGGCTCAAAGAAAGTGACTAGCCTAGACTTCCGGTTTGCTGCCACGGACGTTCTGAAGGCGAGCTCTGTCTTCCATGTCCGATTTTGCAATGCTGGGAGACCCTGGAAAGGGTTGAATGTCGCCCTGTAGGGGCGACCAGCAACGAGGGGATCCCCGCTTGATCGCGGGAAGGCAGTAGCCCTTCCACTCGATCTGGGGCAGCCCTCCAAACCGGCAGATGAAAAACCGGCCATAGAAATATGGCTCGTCACTAGGCTGCAGACAGCCAAAGTCAAATCTACCACCAGGCACCTATAAAGCAGCGCGGATGAGACTGGGTGAGATCTACCTCTCTTTAATCCTAACTATTTTTTCCATCTGTATAAGCTGCCCAAAGTACTTTTCCCCCTGTAGAGAGGGAAGGGAGATTCTATCCCACCCTCTAAAAACAGTGGTGACTGACTATCCAGGGGAGTTTAAAACGTTGCAAGAAAAACTTGAATCTAACTGGATTTTTATCTTTTTAAAATTTGTGGACTAAAAGTTTTTTATTCTTATTGAAGATTTGGGTTTTTACTTACAAAAAAGAAGTAAAATTGGAAAAAGAATTATAAAAATTTTGGATTTAAAAGAAAACTCTAAATGGTATGGGTGACATCTTGTGGCTAAATCTGATATTACAACTTGTTATTGCTTAAAAGAGACTTGACTTGAAGCCCAGACTATGGATAAGACTTTTGTAACCTTGATAGATATCAGCTGTGAGAAGCCCAGCTGTGTTCTATACTCAATGACAAAAAAATTTTCATTCTCTGATTGTAAAGCTTTTAACTTAACACACTACTAAGAGAACATGGATGAAGATCAGGAACAGATTCTCTTTATGTTGAAAGCAATTTATGAAACTATTCTTACAACTACTGATAAAATAAGAAGTTACAAAAAAGAACAAGATGTCAGCCTAGATATACTAACCCAAACTTGGATTACAACCAAAAAATCAACTACACAAAATATAATAGAAGAAGTGGAACAATTAAATACTATGACAGAAGATTCAACTGATCAACAAACACAGCTAATGGAAAACCCAGAAAAGGGACTGACATCATGGAAAAGGGAAAAGACTTTCTATATAAACCAGAAGAAACCTGAGGATCAAGAAGAAGAACAGACTGAAGGGAAGATAAAACATTTCAGGACAACTACATTGAGATGGAAAAATAAAGAGATGATTTGTTAGTCCTTTCAAAAAAATGGCAACCGGGTGGCTTTTTCTACTTCAAGCAATATACATAACAACACAGGGAGATTTATTTGATGACTTAAAAGCATGGACAT